TTTTTTTTATGGCATAAGCCGGTAAACGAGCAGACGGATCACCTGATGGTAAGCAATCGGCGTCGCCCATGGACACCTGGAACACCAAAGGCATTACAAGTGCGTTACCGGCCTTTTGGGGATTAGGAGTTTGAGGATCGTTGGGGATTCAGGAATTGGGGAAGGGGCGGGTAATTGGGCCTCCGGTAACCTCACACGACGAAACACAATGCAAGCGTTGCTTTACGTCGGTTTTCTGTGAGACCGTGGTATCACTCCGGTCGAGACGGCACATTCGTGCGTGCCGAAGCATGGCTATCCCACACTTAATGGATTTGAGATAATATGACGTTTGACAGGGGAAATGGGTTTTTTTTTTTTGATGACGGTGATGATTAACCTTAATGGCGACAAATTAATGATTCCTTATCTGCCACTTTTATTTTTTACGTAATTCTACGTCTTTAGTCATTGGTCTACTTAGCTTTACTTTACTTATCGTTAAAAATAAGACAGCCGATTTATCAGATAGAAACAACTACAGACCGCTTTACTTTACTTATCGTTAAAAATAAGACAGCCGATTTATCAGATAGAAACAACTACAGACCTATTTCTCTGGCAAATAGAAACAACTACAGACCTATTTCTCTGGCAACAGTGGTTTCGAGGGTGTTTGATAGCATGTTGAACTCACAGCTAACCAAACACATTTTTTAAGCTGCATGATAATCAGTTCGGTTTCCGGGGTGGACTATCCACTGAAAGTGCGGTATTGTGTGTTAAGCATGCTGTCAAATACTACACGAGCCGTCAAACTGCAGTTCACGCATGCTTTCTTGATCTGTCGAGGGCTTTTAACCTGGTTTCTAACGATCTTCTATGGAAAAAGTTAGAAAACACTAGCCTACCAATGGAAATTATCAACATCTTTAAGTTCTGGTACGGAAGCCAGGTTAACTGCGTGCGATGGTCGGGAGCCATGTCGCAACCATACAGGTTGGAGTGCGGGGTGCGACAGGGGGGCATGTCCTCGCCAACCCTATTCAACCTGTATATGAATGATCTGACTGTGGCACTCTGTAGCACTCGGGTGGGTTGTCACATAGACGGAATTAACGTAAACAACATAAGCTATGCCGACGATATGGTGCAGCTGAGTGCCTCGGTGTGTGGCATTAAGAGACTGCTGACTGTCTGTGGGGCATATGCCCAGGAACACGGATTAAAATATAATCCAATAAAAAGTGAAGTCATGGTCTTCGAGGCCCGAGGAAACAGTACGGGTGGGGTGTTTCCTGGTATTATGCTTAATGGTACAGCTTTGCGTAGGGTGTCTAAAGTTAAATACTTGGGACATTTGCTGACCTCTGGCCTCGGGGACAATTATGACATTGAAAGGGAACGAAGGGCGCTGGCAGTGCGGGCGAACATGATAGCTCGCAGGTTTGCACGTTGTTCGACAGATGTCAAAATTACACTGTTTAGATCTTATTGCACTTCCTTCTATACGTGCAGCCTGTGGGCTGACTACACACAAAAGTCTTACGGTGCCCTTCGAGTTCAATTTAATAATGCGTTTAGGATGCTGATGGGGCTGGGAAGATTCTGTAGTGCATCTGGGATGTTTGCTGAACATCGGGTGGACTGCTTCTACGCTACGATGCGTAAGAGATGCGCATCTCTGGTGCGTAGAGTGCGATGCAGCGCCAACAGCGTCCTCAACATGATCGCGGGTCGGCTGGACTGTGTCTACATCAGTCATTGTTCCGCCATTTCTCACGGAATGGCGCAAAGTGATTGTTGGGATGAATCATTTATTTTGTTTTGTTGTGGGTAATTTTAAGTATCACTAACACTAGTCTATAAGAACATTGTTACTAACAATTTGGACACAGTGGTCTGAAATAAAAGTATTATTAGCAAGTGACAAGCTCCAAAACGACAGCAGCGAAAATGTGCAAATTAAATATTATTTAGGGATGGATAAAGACTTGACGGGCTAATGATTTGCATCCCCGGTGTATGATATTAAACGTAGCCTAATGACAATGAGTTATTTATAGGACACTAGCGACCCGCCCCGGCTCCGCACGGGTGCAATATACATATATTATCTTACATATAAACCTTCCTTAAGAATCACTCTATTTATTAAAAAAACCGCATCAAAATCCGTTGCGTAGTTTTAAAGATCCAAGCATACATAGGGACAGACAGACGGCGGAAAGCGACTTTGTTTTATACTATGTAGTCTAGCCCCAAGCTCCCAAAATCGCTGCAACTCCTGTAAGCTCGGATCTACAGTAGATACAACCATGAAAACACCGGAACGCTGAAGACCGGCGCGTTCCAGGGACGTGAATGCCTGTCTTCGATCCCGTAATGAAATAAATCAGGCGTGATAATGGCTACGGGGATAATAGATATTTTTAAAAACTCTTAAGGAAATGAGAAAATACAATTTTTTTCTATTAAAATCATCTTCCCACTTGTGTAAACGAACCTATTGTGTACCTTAGACCTTACGGCACTGTTTAATGTTTATGATCATTGGTGTATGTAAACACATAATTTAGGCTATAGGAGCTACGGCTATTGTACGGAAACAATAGCCTTTTGTAGGAAATTCTTGATTTTTCTCATATCGGTTCAGATCGATCAGGGTTCTATGACGAACACAATAATTGCGGTCCTATATATCCTTTTCAATTAAATTTTTTTTTAATAAATCTATATTTTTTTAGTTCTTCATAATCACGACGCGTTTGAAGTGCGAACGCAAACAATTTTTTTTCTTTTTTTTAGTGTCAACTGTGATTTTTTTGTTCTTTTTTTTTAATGGAAGTATATTGACATAATGTTGATGGTGATTATGAATATGTCTCAATATGAATCGTTGTCGACTCCAATGAAATCGAAGAAAGTTAATAAGCTGAAAGGGAAGCACCGGGACTTTGGAGCATTTACACTAACAGTAAGTAAGTATTTTGTATCTATTAGTATTAGATTTGTGGGTCAGATATCGTAACAGAGCGGTATTCACTGTATGGTAAAAGAAGATATGAGGCAGACAGGCAAACAGACGACTGGAGGATATAAGAAAAGTCGGAGAGGCTCCGTGGCCAAAACCAGCTAAAGACAGAGACGAGTGGAAAAACCTGGAAGAGGCCTGTGTGTTAAAGGACACGCTGATCTGATTTCTAATTACGATAACTATATTAGTTTATAAGTTATATTAATGTTACTTCAGTCAATGTTAGTGTCAATTTATCGATGCTCTGTGTAAATAGTTCTTTTTAGTTTTCTTTTATTTAATTTTTATCTGTTTGAAGTTGTATACATATATTTAGTAATTAATTGAATGCATAAATATTTAAATAATGCCCAGCCAAAAGTTGATATTTAACCAATGATGAATTCGGTTGAATGCTGATAATGAGTCGTATCTATTAGGTACCTAGGTAGGTAATATCGTAAATAATATTTATTAAGTTAAATATTGACTGATTATATTTTGTACGTAAAATCATCAATATTCATAACATACAATCACCTATGTAAACAAAAAATAATTTGAGTATAGAAGCCTCAATGACTTCCATACAATGCTACTTCGATTTAGAATTATAATGCGTTCCACGGAATATTTGGAAGGTTAAAACTGTTTACAATACTACTAAATATAGGTTTTCAAGTGTGGGAGAGCCATGCTTCGGCACGAATGGGCCGGCTTGACCGGAGTGATACCACGGCCTCACAGAAAACCGACGTGAAGCAACGCTTGCGTTGTGTTTCGTCGTGTGAGTGAGGTTACCGGAGGCCCAATTACCCTCCCCTTCCCCAATCTCCCCAATTCCTGAATCCCCAACGATCCTCAAACTCCTAATCCCCAAAAGGCCGGTAACGCACTTGTAACGCCTCTGGTGTTCCAGGTGTCCATGGGCGACGCCGATTGCTTACCATCAGGTGATCCGTCAGCTCGTTTACCGGCTTATGACATATAAAAATAGGTATCCATTGGTAAAAATAATAATAGGGGAATTTTTTACTGCACCTCTATTTAGAAATTTAAGCAAACCAAATTTCTCTACTTATAACCTACTGCATATCAAAAAAATGACTGTAGGTAGGTACTACAAATTAACTACATCGTACTCATCGTACAACAAAAATACTGATTTGCACACAAATTGTTCAATATTACAACGGAATTTCCAAAATAGGTTAGGTTAGAAATTATTACATTTACTTTTAGTTAAAAGATATTCATTCAGTAAAACAGTTAAGCTTTAAAGATGTAACGGTATAGTATGATTGATTTATTTGATGAGCAAATTTAGTGTGCAATTCAGTATTTTTGGTGGTAATTTCGAATATTTTGATTGAAAAAAGGGAATTTACAGTTAAATTATTAAATACCACCCATAATAATATGTAGGCATGTATTGTATTTACATAGGCACCCTTATCAGGGAACTTACTCTTAAATCCAATTCCGATCGATAGACATTGGTATTGTGAAATTTCGTACTCTTGAGAAGCAACACTAGCGCCCATTGCATCCGTATTGCGTGGATATTTTGTAAACTAAATGGTATTGAGTTTGGCTTTTATATTCCGTGCAGCAGCTACGATTGTGGTTGTATAGTTTTGACATTGAATAATTATTGAGATATTATTGGATTGAAATTGCATTGACATTGAGATTGGTTTCAAGAGTAAGCACTCAGATCTTATTTTTATCAAAAATATAAAAAATAATTTATCGCTTTCAAAGTTTTAATTTAAAAATTAATTCTACTTTGATCTATTTAGTTAGATATCCAGTAAGTATCAGTACCCTATAAAATTACCTAGGTTTTTTTAGATATATCGAAATCACACAACTCGTCAATCACGCTGAAACTACTGAACGGATATGGCAGGGTATGGTCTGACTTATAGGTGATAGGATACTTTTTATCCCAATTATCCATGGGACCATCCATGGGATAAAACAGGAATCATATTCTACGCGGAATAAGTCGCGAGGAACAGCTAATAATATACCTAAATAAAAAGATTTTATAAAGGTATCAACTCAACAGGCAGTAAAATTAGTAAACAAATCGATATTTTGTGACTACCAATAGTATAAAACCCTACTCTTAACAAACCCTCAAACGTTTTCCAAAATTCGAATCTAAACAAGTTAAAATAAAGTTCAAATTGTTAATAAGTATCAGATATATGTACATATATAGTAACATACAAAGCAACTCACCCATTATTATATTCTCGATACAAAACAACGCGAAGCGTGCACTCTCAACAAATGTTTGTAACAAACTGGTTCCTTAGTTCAGTTTCTCAACCTTTATAATTCAATTACATACTTGGCATGTTTGCCGGCCAACACCAATTATAACATACATTGCGTGCCTTGTTAACATTCTGATGCGACCCCTCTTACTTAAGCGTCAATGTATGAGCAAAAATGTTGGTTTTGTAATCAAATGTTGGACACAAACATGATTTATGATAAGCAAATGTAATTTGCAAGCGGTGTCAAGGTCTTAGGTCAAGTTTAGAAGCGTGGGATGCCTAAATGGATTATATTGATACCTAAGTGCTGTATGAGAAGATTTATAAATACATATTGTGTTTTTATAATACCCTCCGAACCGATACGACCTTCAAACCTTCAAGAAAGAGCGTACTCCTTTTTAAAAGGCCGGCAACGCACCTGTGACTCCTTTGGTGCTCCGAGTGTCCATGGGCGGCGTTGATCGCTTACCATCAGGTGATCCGTCTACTCGTTTGCCTCCTATTCCATAAAAAAAAACCTAAAAACCGTGCGACTAAATTAACTAAAAATGACGAGCGTTGCTACAAGTCCCCCAGTAACTCGAAACTAAGTAGTAGAGCTTTTCGCAGTATTTATATTTACGTGAGTAACTCATCACCATCAACAGCCTATAAATGTCCACTGCTGAGCAAAGCCTCTTCTCACACGGAGAAGGTTTGAGCATTAATCACCACGCTTGCTCAATGCGGGTTGGCGATTACAAACTTATAATTAGAAACTATAAGCCCAGGTTTCCTCACGATATTTTCCTTCACCGTTTGTCAGTGGTGTCTAGATCATCTTAGAAAGTACCTACATATAACTCGGAAATAGTCACATTGGTACTTGCCGTAGGTTTCGAACCCCATGCATGAGAAGCACCTGTCTTAAACCTCCGGGCCTCAACTTATCATTTTAGTTAAATATGCATTGCGTCTTGTATGACAATATAAAAAGTGACATTGTAAATTGTATTAATATTTATGATCTCAAATTGATTACCTCGTCTCTACTGCGTTGGAAACAACTTCTTTTGTATACGCTGTGTTAACTGATGAATGAATGTTGATGATGCGAAAGAGGTATGTAAGAATCGTAGCAATTGGCGTTCCATATTCCCTGATTACCCCTGTCTGAAGACAGACGTGAGGTCATAATGTAATGAGCCCTATGTTCGTTTCTGCTGTGCATGAGCTATATATGAGCCGTTTTCAACGAGCAAACGGATCACCTGATGGTAAGCAATCGGCGTCGTTCATGGACACCTGGTACACCAGAGGCGTTACAAGTGCGTTACCGGCCTTTTGGGGATTAGGAATTAGAAGATTGTTGGTGGTAATTCAGTAATTGGGCCTCCGGTAACCTCACTCACACGACGAAACACAACGTAGGCGTTATTTTACATCAGTTTTCTGTAAGGCCGTGGTATCATTTCGGTCGAGCCGGCCCCTTCGTGCCAAAAGCATGTCGCTCCAACATGGATAACATCAATAACGGATAACCGTTATTGAAATCCCAAATTCCAATTCCAAATTATTGGATGTCCTTCCCTATGGCAAAATAGCCATACCTAATGGAACTGGAAAAAAGCGCTTAAACAATGTAATGATATTTAACCTTTATGAACGTATTTTTAGCTGATATTATAAAATCTTGTATCTCTGCAGGAGAAGAAACGGGGTGGTTTTTAGTCAGTAAGAGTCTAACACTCCCTCCCGCCTCACCAAGGCGGGAGCAGTCATTCGATGATTTTCCCCCCTTAAAAAAAAAGCACATAACAAATAAGACATTTATTCTTAACAAAACCAATATTTTCCATAATATTTAAATACCTATTTTATATTTGTATTGTCACTTTCGTGAGACATACTAAATAAATTATTATGTTTTCGCCTTACTCAAGTAATAATTTGACGAGAAACTCGACTAGTTTCAAGCCATGCCGCGTCGCGGGTCGTGAAATGCTGCTCATGAATATGAACCTCTAGCATGGCTTGAAACTAGTCGAGTTCCTCGTCAAATAATTACGTGAGTAAGCCGAAAACACAATAATTTACCTACTTTGTAAATGCCAATTTGATATTTATTCAGTAAATAAGTTTATTTAATCTAGGTAGCTGTGAATCAGAGTTCAGAATAGTGCCCTCATGCACTAGGTATAAACAAACATTCGATATTATGATGGGTTCATGATGTTATCGACTGTGACCTACTCAGCATATGATCAGTCGGCACCTAGGTATTATCTATCTATATAAATAAAAATGAATTTCCTTTCGTAAGTCTCGCTAAGACTCGAGAATGACTGAACCGATTTGGCTAATTTTCGTCTTGAAATGTTCGTGAAAGTCCAGGGAAGGTTAAAAAGGTGAAAAAAGAGTCAGCTAGGTACAAGTAAAAAAACAGAGAAAAATAACTACCGTAAACGGGGTGAATAGAATTCGAGAGGTGAATAGACACAGGAAACAGGAATGGGGTGAATAAATATTAGAACATTTCCTAAATAATTATTATTCACCCTTCTTCGATTGGTGTATGAAAACAATACATGATCTCCTATTATTACATAGGGCTCTCATATTTATAATTTTTGAAAAGTAGGACTGCCTCGTTGCCCGATTGGTGGTGGTTCGATTCCCGGGTCGGGTTAAATATTACGGGGTTTTTTTTTAAGAAAACTCAGTAGTAGCACGGAGTCTGGAATTGTGCCCGGTATATGGCAATAGGCTCACTCTATATATTATATGGAACTCATAACTTAAATAGTGAAAAAGTGGGTGTTACGTTGTACAATGGCATTACGTTATGTGCCGTAATGTGCACCTCTGCCTACCCGTTCGGGGATAAATGGCGTGATGTTATGTAGGTGTTGTATAATATAACACATATGTACTTATAGATATAATAATAAAGAAGTTTTTAATCTATCTGTTTTTAATATTTCTGTGTAAGTACGTAGGTACTATATTCCAGTTATCAATAATTGCACTTGTATTCTATTTAAGTGAAGGCATGAAGCTATCTTATTCTTAACTTAACAATAGCTACTCTAGTATAGAAATGCCTTTAAAATAACAAAATAATGGCTATAATAATAAAACGTTGGTTGGTAACTGGTTTATGTATATGATTGTAAAGTGCGCTATCAACCGGTTCATTCCCGGTCTTTTTGTATTGTAGTCACGAAACAAATCTGGTTTTAAACACATTATGGCGTGCGGCAGTTGTTTTTAACCAATGTATCCTGTCTGGTGGGAAGATTGGACGAGTTATAGAGTTAGTTAGAATTAAATTAATAGCGTGGGATAGCATCGTATTTCGTAATGTAGGTCCTTATGCGTACCAGCAATGTAGCCAGTTTTTATGTTAAGTTTCCATGCAAAATAACGTTAAAAAATCTACATGTTGCATAAAGTAAACAATTTGAAAACATCTAAGTGTAATGTTATAGAAGAGACCAGAAGGAACATGTTCAATGCTGCGATTTTAATAATATTATTGAATTTACCCCCATCTATTTTAAAAAAGACACAACATTTAGAAATTCAGTCAAATAAATTGTTAATAGATAGAGCTACGTTTGACAACGTAAACAGAGTTTACATTGTCATTGATTGAGAAATGTTTCCTAAAAATTTAGTTATGCCAATAAAACAGATTATGATCTATGGATGTAGTTGTTTTTATATTTGCGATAATTAATTAGAATCACATAAAGGTAAATATTTTTCTTATAATCCATTGTCGAACACTCAATAATGAGATGTCAATTTCAGAACGAATAATATTCTGACGCCTACCGGATCAACAGCGAACTAAATTCAAATATTTCGGTTCAAACGTCAAACCAATAACGAACACACGAATGTTTGTGGAACCAAATTGTTTTTTTGTTTGATATTTGGAAAAAAACGATTGTGAATCAGTAATTATTGTGTAAAGTGCATATAAACTATGTTAACTGTGTAATTTGTGACATTTGTGTATTTTTATATTGTATAATAATGGATCCTTTCACTCAGGTACGGCTGGGTGATAATTTATGTGGTAACGGTCGCTATCTGCAAAAGGTCAACAAGAACATGGTTTTTTAATTAATTTAACTTATTTCCAGCGTATGTTAGAGAGGGCGCGGGCCAGACAGGAGAAGATTGACCAAAAACTTGCGAGTTCCGGACAGGTAGTTCCGAAAAGGAGACCTTTGGCAGAAAACATCACTGTGCTAAAATCCGAGAATTCTCCTGTGAAGTCTCCCAACAAAATATCTCGGGACTCTATTTCATCGCCTCGGAGGCTATCTAAAGATGGTTCAAAGTCTGAGACTCCTACAAAAGCTGTGGTTAAGAGATCGAGTTTGAAGGCTGATGTAGCGTCCCCGCAGCGGGGTCGCAACGACATTGTGGTTACCAAGAAGGAGTTTAAAAGTCCAAAAAGGGGGAGTATTAATAGACGGAACTCCGATGTATCAGTAGAGATCAATATTTCTCATAGAAATGATATTCAAATTGAAGTGCAAGTTGAGGAAAGAGATGCCCCTATCAGTGTTGTGTATGACTCACAGGCAAACCCTGGAAGCAACGTTATCATCAAGGAGATCACAGGTAAGGAGGTTTTAATTATACATATTAAACTATTTACTGCCTATTTCCTGTGTGGTATGAAGGACATCAACATAATTCAAAGATGACTTGATTATATATAAATATCTATTTTATAGTTGAAAATCAACTTTAAACGTTGCTGTCTGATTCTAACTTAAAGTAAACAGTATAAATAGGTTTTTAATTAGTTGACATGGTACTGAATAATACTTAAAGAATTACTACATAGCCGATACCCACTGCTTAGTCCCTTATCACATAGCAACTACATTGCATTTAAAAATACAAAACAATGTATGATGTAGTAATGAATAAGATATGCTATTGTCCCTTCGTTTTCTTTCCCAAATAGGTTCCAAGCATAAAGGTATTTATCTAAATAAGGAACCATGCAATGACTAACCAGAGCCAATGACACTTATATTTTTTAAATCTTTATCCTTACAAGTTTGAACCTTTTTTGCTTATTACTTATTAGTCACCTCTGGAAGATAATGGTTTCTAATAATTTGTTAATGCTTCTTGTTATAACACCAGTTTATTGGTTTTAATGTAAACAGTGTTAAGTTGTGACTGTATGAAATTATTTTGAGTTTGTTTTATTCTGTGCAGTCTGTGGATAGTGTTGTGTTTAAACTTAAAGTTTTGAATTTGGAATTAGGATTTATGATGGGTATTTTTTTTTAACTATGGACAATTTTTTTTTATTATTGCACAGTTCACAGTTATGTGACTTTGTTCGAAATTGTATTCAATACATAATTTTCAATAGTTTTGTGCATAGAAATTCTGTTGAAACTTATTTCATCAGCTAAAATGTATTTTAAAATTCGTCTAATGTATGAAAAATATATGTTTTTGTTTCTATTTCTAAGTAAAATAAAATGAAAATTGCAGATGGCTCATCCATCAACTTGGAGAAGGCAATTGAAGATGCCTCCGAGGCCAAGACCCAACGAGGTGGACTCCGACACAATGTCAAGTCCCGACTTGATAGACTTGGCAATCTGTATTCAGGTATGTGTGTTGCTTAAGGCTAGAATTTTTTACGTTCTGATATCAATTATTATATAGACAAATTAATCTCTTATGATTTTTTGCGAATGTAAAGAATATCCGACTATAGTTAAAAGCGATGCCTACAAATCCTATACTGTTATACCTAGTACCAACGTCTTAATCCTCGATTATGAAATATCAACAACATTTGTTCATACTAAAGTAGTCCCTAATCATCAGAAATAAGGTCTATAATGGAGTAAGTCGAGAGCATACACTGGTGACCGCTTGGGGACTTGGGAGTTAAGATAAGATAACAAACTGTTCTACACTTAAATATGGTACTGCAGATGCTAGGATCCAAACACTTAGCTATTGCGCCAACATTACATTGGTCATAATTTTACTTAATTCATAGCAAAATATCCTCTGTTACTAACTCATTAGATTGCTTTCCAAACTTTTTTTATACATATAACAGGATGCTGATAATGATGTGCATAGTGCGATAAGTTACTTGATTGTTGGTAACAATTATACAGCCACGGGTTTGATTCCCACACCAATTTCGTTTGTATATTTTTTTCTCTAGTCTGCATACTTTATTTAAAAGTCAATTTTGACGTCCGTATTTAATTTACTTCATTTATTTCCTAAGTCTATCTTCCAATAATCTCTTGAACATAGTAATACAAATTCAATCATCAATATGATACATTCAATTTCCAGATAAGCCAACCCTCTCATCACCCATCCACCGCACGGAGCTAGAGTTCACATCAGCAACTCCACCAGAGCCCGAACAGCTAAAGCAGCAGAAGCCTCGTCCCCAGGAGGGCAAGAAGAAGTTCGGCAGACTAGCCGCTTTAGCAGACCAGATCAATAACTGGGAAGATGATCTGACACATCATATTGTGAGTATTTTGAATTAGACCTTATTTTTATTGCATTACCATCAAAAAATTACATAAAGTAGACATCCTAGTTGGCCGAGTGGTCGCAAGTGCGACTGCCGGGTGAGCCTTCTCGGGTTGAATTCCCGGGTTGTGCAAAGTATTATTGGTTTTTTTTTATCTCAGTAGTAGCACGGAGTCTGGAATTGTGCCCGGTATATGGCAATAGGCTCACCCCCTATTACATGGGACTCATAACATAAATAGTGAAAAGTGGGTGTTACATTGTATAGTGATCTTAAGTGCCGTAATGTGCAGTTCTGCTCACCCCTTCGGCGATAAAAGTTGTGATGCTATGTTTTATTGCATTAGGGTTAGTTGTTCTTCTGATTGCCTTCAAAGAGCCTTCAGATCACCACAGATGTGGTCCACTAGTGTCGATGCTCGGCCGGCGTCGCGAGCAAGGCAGTAACCATGTCCATATACTGTAGTCTCGTAAGTCTATGACGTAAGTCAGTAACAGTCTGATACTCCTTCTCGCCTCATATATTTTCCATTCTCAAAAATAAGATGTTTGTTCAGTACACTGTATAGCTAAATTGCTAGGTTGATTGTGATGAATTCGTGTATGAAGATAGTTAGAAATAATTTGAGCAAGGCATTAAGACATTTTCTTTTTTATTAAATGTGTTTCTTTATTTAATATGCTTCATCCACTCGGTGGACAATAGGTGGACTTAATGCCGCAAGCATTTACAAGTAAATAAAAAAAATAATTTCGGGAATTAGTTTCTATCTGTTCCATTACAAAATAAAGATTTCCTTCTTTTTGTTTTGTTAAAATATAGCTTAGGTAACACCAATTAGTTTTATTTTCGTTCGTACACTGATTGGCAAAGGTCACTTTGAATTCTGTTTAACTGGTTATTGTGGTTTGAGTCATACTTACCTCTAACCATACATACTAGACTGTATGACTATAATGTCTGTTTCTAATATTAAAATAACCGTTTATTACTACATGCATATGAATATACAAATCTCTAATTGATATTAATAAAACCTTTCCACATTCCAGCCACCTGAACCAGCAAAGAAGGCGATAACCAAGCCAGAAATCAAGAATAAGAAGGAGAAGAAGACGGAGAAGCAGGAGATACTGGATGCATCCACGGTGGATGTGTCCATACACTCGTTCCAGGACATTAACAAAGTGCTGGATACTACTAGCAAGGCTAAACAGGTTTGCCATGACTGTGTTGTTTAGTTTTATTTAATTACAGCTCTGGGGATCGGCAAGCCACTCAAATATTGAGATCCTCCAGCGCTACCAGAACAAAGTGCTAAAGGTACTGGTTAATGCACCATGGTTCACACGAAACACGGAGGTGCACGAATATCTGCAGATTCCGACAGTCAAGGAAGAAATAAAGAGTTCATCTGTGTCTTACAAACAACGCCTTGGGCGACACATTAACCATCTGGCTTCACAGCTCATAAACTCAGACAACTGCTTATCTCGACTGAAAAGAAAGCAACTAGCGTCTACATAAACCCATTTTTAGGGAAAAAAGAAATAGAGTTAGCATGTCACAGGATGTGCAACTCTCCAAAGTCCCAAAAGCACGTCATCTCATCTGATTAAAGCCGTATCGGCTGATTGTAGATCTGAGTATATAAAAAAAAAAAAAAAAAAAGTTTTATTTAAAACTACCGTTGTTCCGTGAGATAAAAAGTACCTAAGCTTTCTGTTATTCCAGACCATAAGCGAACCCTGGGTGCTTACTCTTGTAACCAATCTCAATGTCAATGCAATTTCAAGCCAATAAAATCTCAATAATTATCCAATGTCAAAACTATACAACCCCTATCGTAGCTGTTAAAATAGCATTCATAGTACGGAACATATAACTAAACTCAATACTATTTAGTTCATGAAAAATCCACGCAATACGGATGCAATAGGCGCTAGTGTTGCAACTCAAGAGTACGAAATTTTACAATGTTAATGTCGATCGATCGGAATTGGATTCAAGAGTAAGCCCCCAGTTCCAAATTTCATCCCAATCCCTCCGGCCGTTTTGATGTGATTAAGTAATAAACACATAAACTTTCGCATTTATAGTATTAGTAAGATAGTAAGACTATCCACTCCTGCGCATTTCCCGCTACTCGGCGCATAGTAATCATAGCTTGATGATTTAAAGCATTTGGCCGTCCTCGATTAACCCGTGGTATGGCCGGAACGTATGTAGATATACGCGAGACACAATATGTTTTCTATTGTATCTTATATCTTCTAATATAATATTAGACTGCCTCGTTGGCCGAGTGGTCGCGAGTGCGACTGCCGGGCAAGGGGTCTCGGGTTCGATTCCCGGGTCGGGCAAAGTATTACTGGGTTTTTAAAAAAAATTCTCAGTAGTAGCACGGAGTCTGGAAATGTGCCCGGTATATGGCAATAGGCTCACCCTCTATTACATGGGACTAAAAGTGGGTGTTACTTCTGTGTGCACCTCTGCCTACCCCTTCGGGAATAAAAGGCGTGATGTTATGTGTTATAATATTATAAAGCTGAAGAGTTTGTTTTTTGTTTGTTTGTTTGAACGCGCTAATCTCCGAAACTACTAGTCCGTTTTGAAAAATTCTTTCTGTGTTGGATAGCGCATTTATCGAGGATGGCTACAGGCTATAAAACATCACTCTACAACCAATAGGAGCTGAGCAGAGCATGTGAAATCGCGCGGAAGTAGCTAGTCTTACATATCGACAGTCAAGAGGTTAATGGTATCCAGCACAAGAAGATTTTTTTCAATTCGAACTAGTAGTGCCGAAAATTAATACGTCTAAACAAAAAAGATCTTTACTTACACTTTTTTATGTACATACATACATACATACATAACTTCACGCCTGTCTCCCATGGGGGTAGGCAGAGACTAAGGAACGCCAATTACTACGATTCTTACATACCTCTTTCGCTTCATTAACAGTTATCAATCTTTTCATGCATAAACTTTTTTATGTAGTCCAATATAAATACATGTAGATGAAACCAATTTAAGAATCTATATTTAAATCTGTTAAAGGTCAAAATAGCCTGTATCAGATAAGATAAACAAATAAAAATGTCTTTGTCCACAGACCAACAAACACGTAGACTCGAACACATACACGAAATCTTCTGTGAACGAGTGCCAGAGACTAGGCAAGCAGATTGTAGCGGAATTGGTGAGTACATAGCATTGTAAGAATAACACCATTATACTCAAACTACTGTTTAAAACATCTCTGTGATACTACAAAATGTTGTCAGGTTCAGCTACCTCTTTCTTTATCGATTTTGAACTTTATTGTTTTGAAGTCTAAGTTGAAAATGCAATGACAAGTATTGTCAAATTGGTATGGGTTGGCTTAATGCCATTGAGTGATGTTTGAGTATATTATGGTAGTAAAATAGTTTCATCATTTGTTTTTTATCTTTTCATGTTTGGATTGTTTTTTTTTTTTCGATGTGTGCATTCCGAATGTAGGTTTTTGTTTTATGATTTTAATATGAACGAATAAGAAGAAAATTCGTTAAGAAATTCTAAAATACTTAATGATTTTAATATGATATTTTGATGGCAAGGTAAGTTTGGTCATTTTATTTATGATATTTAATGTTGTCTTTAATCATTTTCCTATCCTTTTTAAATGGACTGCTTAGGTGGTTACCAGCTACGACTGCGATGTTGAATTTATAAGCAACTGATTAAAAACACAGTTAACATGCGTACATTAGATGAAAATCAAGAACCGTAAAACGGGGTGAATAGAATTCGAGGGGTGAAAAGATACAGGAATGGGGTGAATAAGTGTTAGACTATTTTCCCAACATTTATTCAACACTCTTCTATCTATTCACCCCTCGAATTCTATTCACCCCGTTTTACTGAACGTAATTTAAATCATCATCTTCATTAAATAGCTATTACTAAACTTTATTGTCTTACCGTCATACTCATAGTCATTTAATGATTACTTTTAAACGTGGGAAAGCCATACTTCGGCGCGAATAATAACACGAAAGAGTGATACCACGGCCTCACAGAAAACCGACGTGAAACAACACTTGCGTTGTTTGTGAGGGTTACCGGAGGCCCAATAACCTCCAGAAGATTAGGGAAGGCGGGGGGGGCCCCGCCTTCCCTAATCTTCCCAATCCCTGAATCCCCAACAATCCTCAAATTCCTTATTCCCAAAAGGCCGGTAACGCACTTGTAACGCCTCTGGTGTGCCAGGTGTCCATGAGCGGCGCAGATTGCTTCCCAGGTGATCCCTGTGCTCGTTTACCGGCTTATCCCATAAAAAACTTAAAGTATTCCTTAGTAACGATGTTGTTCCAATAACAACTGCTAAGGACTGGGTTAGGTCACCAATAAATGACTTTGAGTATAGCGGTTAGCTTTTATAGGACACCTTGCTGATCTTAAATAAGTCTTACTTTTTTTATGGCTTACCAAAGCAGTCCATTATCTAATCCTCAATCCATTCCTCCGTTATATTCCCTATTTTAATAAACTTAGTTACAATATCAGTATTTTCATAAACCACTAATTTTTTATACCTACTAAACTACCTACCCTTAGTTTCTTATGATTGGTGCAATGGTACGGGTGTACGGTACGTGTTATTAACAAAATGGTTTTGGGTTTATTTTTCAAAATTTTTTGATTTGTATTGCGATACGGTTCGTCGTGAATTTATCGATAAACGGTGAAGTTGCATCATTGACGTCTTACGTACGTAACACGTAAAAAATACTTTTCCGAAATTGATATATTATTCAGAAACAAAGAAAGTAAAGGTATTCGACAGCACGGACACACACAAATACAAAGCTTATCACTACATGATATAAAACAAAGTCGCTATCCGCCGTCTGTCTGTCCCTATGTATGCTTAGATCTTTAAAACCACGCAACGGATTTAGATGCGGTTTTTTTAATAGATAGAGTGATTCGTAAGGAAGGTTTATATACATAATACATGCATATTACACCCGTGCGAAGCCGGGGCGGGTCGCTAGTAAAAAATATATTATTGGGTCGCTTTCTAAAACTTGACAATATGTAACGCCTGCTCATATTTTGCGAGTTTCCTTAACGTCCCAAGTGTGATTTGCTCAGATTTTTGTAGTAGGCGTTCTGTTACAATAATCGTTGAAATGTTTGTTTATTTTGAGCAGTTCCAATTATACACTTCTGTATAGGACATACAGAAAAAATAATGAACGTATGTGCAAAATGAAAAAAAATCGTGGTAACCACGTTAGGAACTGGTAATGATTTGAAAGTTAAACTGATTCCAATGGTGTATGTAACTATACCGTTTGGGGCCGTGGTAAATTCATCAGATAAGATGGGCCCTCGTTTCCAATAATAAATAGAGAAGTTCTGATGAAAACGGAAGCCATTTCCAGCTGGGGACCCATGACATTTTGCCGATTTGCTACCCAACTATACCGTTTGGGGCCGTGGCAAATTCATCGGATGGGATGGGACCCCGTTTCCAATAAAAAGAAGAGAAGTTCTGATGAAAACGGGAGCCCTTTCCAGCTGGGGACCCATGACATTTTGCCGATTTGCTACCCAACTATACCCGTTTGGGGCCGTGGCAAATTCATCGGATGGGATGGGACCCCGTTTCCAATAAAAAGAAGAGAAGTTCTGATGAAAACGGGAGCCCTTTCCAGCTGGGGACCCATGGCATTTTGCCGATTTGCCGCCCTACTATACCGTTTGGGGCCGTGGCAAATTCATCGGATGGGATGGGACCCCGTTTCCAATAAAAAGAAGAGAAGTTCTGATGAAAACGGGAGCCCTTTCCAGCTGGGGACCCATGGCATTTTGCCGATTTGCCACCCCGCAGTTAGGCCACTGTTGTGTACAATATATTTTATTGATAGATACTCTGTTACGTTACGATACAATCGCATTGTATTGATTATCATAATATTTGTCATGTCGACAATGTGCGAAAGATTTGCGTAGTAAGTAGTAACAATGCGACCTTTATGGAACAAAGAGTTAGGTTGTTATTCTTTGTTCAAGTCTCTATTTTTAAACGAGTTCTTACTTACAAGTAAAATAATAGTCAGATTAATTACAAAATATCAAATTTTGTATTTTTTGCTAATGTATGTATACCACAATATAAATAATATAGTTTTGTTTATATATAACTTAGTAGATAAATATTGAATCTATGCAATAAAATTAAGTACTAGCTACCCTAAGTCTGGTAAACTTAGGTTTTCTATAATGTCTAACCAAGTATTATTACTTCTATGAAATCTATAGTATTACCTTTTGCAAGATTAAAGAAAATTTTAATTCAAATAACTCCATAGTTTTCTTTATTCCTCTGCTAATCAAGGATTAAAGTCGCGCCATGTATCATCAATTTGATGTGGCGCCCGCGCAGCATACTAATGCAGACGAATTATTTATCTATTGACGATCTTTCTGATTTGCATATCCAACTAAAATATAAATAATATTATTGATAGTGTTTTATTTTAACAATGACTGTCTTGTACTTGGCGCTACTCAACAAGAGGTCCTACGTGTCCCTGTTGTTTTCAAAAAGTTTGAGTACATCATTTGAACTGAGTCTGAACAGGCTATTATGTGTTTTAACCACATAAAAAGTAAGTTATTTTTAAAACGACAGCTGTATTATCTTCAAAATATATCGTCGGGAGTTGTAGTGCTTTCTATAAAGTACTTATCTGATAATTAAAGTTATCTGATAAAACATTAATGATTTATCATCATGAATACTCTTTAAAATGTCATATCAACTTTATATTAAAAGCTTTTTCATTGACTGAAGTACTTTTGATTTCCCCACCTTGATAATAGTGTCAGTAGGATAGTCTACAGTGGACGAAGTGATTTTTTGAAAAATCACTTCGTAACTGCCTTTTGTATATCAACATTTAGGCATAGCCTCCTTCCATTCTTCTCCGCTCTTGGCGGTCCTGGGCAACAGACATCTGATCCCTTTACCTAAGTAGAGGGTGAACCTACCTACCGGATGGTTATGATCAGCATCCCCATTCTCATAATATATCAGTGAACTACTGATACTCTCCGGTAACTTCACTCACTCGACGGAACACAAGCGTTGCTTCACGTCGGTATCTGTGAGGCCGTGGTATCACTCCGGTCGAGCCGACCCATTCGTGCCGAAGCATGGCTCTCCCACACTTAAAAATAAGAAAGCCCCTAAAGAAAGTCTTTTGTTGAGCAGTAGATATCACACATCTATTGAATCTCTTGGTAATGATAATTTTATTGGTTTCTCAATCTTCCTTCCTGAATAAAAGACATTGTTTTGCATCATTTCTATATATTTGAGCGGTACATCTATTAATAAAATCCCACCATATCTAAGTCAGCCGCCCGCGCTACCCTTTGTCCTCGCGTGGACGTGGCTTGCGCAGTTTAACGACTTATTTTGATCTTTTATGGCTATATTTAAAGCTTTAGTTATTTTCACGACGACCAGATGGGTGGCCTTTCATGACAAAGCGAGTTTTTGATGCTGTGGTTGCTTTGATTGGTAGTTTAGTCCTGTAGGGGAATGATAGTAACTGGCAACTGGTAATAGTTCACAACACCTTATTTTGTTTCTTGTAATTTAATGCGCTTGGTGGTATTTGATTCATTTATATTAATTTATTGAATTAGGGTCTCTAAAAAGGAATACATTTAGAATACACCAGTAACATTACACAGAATTAAAAAATATTTGCTTTATTAAATATATTAGGAGGCCACATCATGCAAAAAAAACATAAAAATATCCCCAAAACTTAAATCTTGAATGGAAGGTGTATTGGCAAAACTTATAAATAAAATACAGTACTCTAACATAACTAGGTGAACGAAGCAATTATGATCTACTTCTTCCTTACAATATCGCTGGACACTTAACTTTAATGCCTAATGGCATTCTTGCAGAAGTCATTGTATTTATGAAGTCACTACAGTATTATCCATAATGATGATGATAATATTATGATGCACAAATATAAGCATTTTATTTTAGCGAATGCCCACCAATTTGACAACCCTAACATCCAGGGCCGGTTCCATAAAATCGGCGCAGGAGCATTCTTTCGGCACTCGTTCGCATTTTACTGCGTAATGACGTCGTAATATGCACTCGAGTGTTCACTA